TTATAATCTTCCTTAGGGCTAAAGTGTGTGCTAAAGATTAATTGTATTTCCAGGCCACACGATTTGTGGAAGTTCTTTCAATTCCAGTGCATATTGGTTAGTGTTGTCTGCATGCAATTATTGCCATTGCTGTATACAATCAATTAGTTTTCAGTCTAATTTCGGGACCATTCCTCACGACTGTCGGCATTTCATCAATATCAAACGCATCTTCGAACAACGTGTAATGAAGCTTGTGAAAGGCAACGGGGTAACAATACAATACGCTTGGCAAGTGCCTCCTTCATCTGCTGTCGTATTTTAGCAGTCTGGGATACAAAATATGCTTTCGCACTATAATCTCACTTTCGAAGGGCAAAAGCACTGCGGCCTTGATGACTCGATCAACATTGCGAGATTGTGTATAAAGTTAATGCAGGATAAAATTGAACTTCGGGTACGTTTCACCACTATCGAGTTTGAGTGATGCTCTCTTATTTCTCTGTTTCAGATTAATCAAAGAATGACCAGAAGACAAGACAGGAATGAGGTAGGTAGGCTTTTATAGTCCCTAATTTTTTTTAAATTGGTTTTCCATGTTGCTCAAGTGATGAGAATCAAAGTGGCATACAGTGATCAAGTCTCAATAACCTAGGTAAAAATGTGGTGTAATGAAGCCAGTACTGGCTGAAGTCCTCTTAACCCTTTCGGACCTGAATTTTTCCCCGTGAAAATTTTTCTTCTAGCTATTGTTTATTACTTGTGAGCATATAGGTATCATTATGGCGAAATTTGGAAGCTATTCGATCACAAACAAAGAAACTAAAAGCTTTGAAAATTGGCCCACCTTCTTAGTTTTTAAGCTTATGTCGAAACAATTCCAAATTTCATAGTTATGCCGAAAAAGTTTATAATCTTGCACAACATTATAACCCATAATTTTGATTAAAGAATGGATCTACTTCAAGTATTTTAAGAAAAAGTGACACTTACTTGGCCGGTTGCGGGGACCAGCGCCGATTCATTGTTGCACTTGTACACAAATACTTGTAATACTAACAGCAACACACAATGAAATGGCAGGTTTAGCTCATAATTAGGAAGGGGAAGGTTGACTGAAGCAACCTCTAGCAGGATTAGAAAAACCATGCTGTTTCAGCGGCAATGCAAGCGTTTGAATTTGATGGTGGCAATTGCCACCGCCAGGGCCGAAAGGGTTAAACTAATTAATCGCAGTTTGTTCAGCTCAAGCTGAAAGCTTCCAGCACATTAATATCTACTGAACTAACTGTTCATCACCCTGCGACTGCGCTAGGCTGATGCTAGGAAAAAGAAGGAGACGATCCATCTTAATGATTGTAGAAGTTGGAGCAATTGCTGTAAACCTCCTTGAGCTCCTCAGCGTGATGACGAATGACTTCATATTCCAGTAACGATGATTAGACAAGAGCTTTCTTCTGCATATGGAGGGTTATCTTGGGAATATACTGCCAAAATACTTTCATCGACAGGGGCACCCTATGTGATGAAGTTTGGTGCTTGGCAGTAGGCAAGGTTCTTTGCCCCTTCCACCTCTGTAGTCTGCAGTCTCTTTTGTACTATCAATTTTGGTCACGCTAAAATCCCTGAGGTGCACTATTTCCAGGCAATGACAACTTTCTCTTCAGGAGCGGCGCTTAGAGGAGCTTGCCAAATCCGACCGAGCAGATGCGTCCGATTACCACATTTGGCACAGAAAATTGCCACTAAAACTGCGACAAGTTACACGCGAGATTTTGAGCGAGGAATACCTAGATTGCGACATGTATTATGGTGGAGCCGTAAAGACTTTAGCAGTACTGATGACTGCTAATACAGTGGACACATTACTTAATTGGGATAGGAAGCACAAGATTGTACAGAAGGCGTTCTTCCAATGCACTCTTAATCGAACCTATCACAGTTATCTGCTCATTTTTGTACTATTCACGCAGAGCCATCTCATTACAGTTTAGATTCATTTTATCATATTGTTCGATTGTACAGCCGTTTTTTAATTGGCTTGGGGCGCGGGTGGTTGTATTTTTCTAATGACACAAAGCTAATTGTTAAAAAACGTTAGCTACTTATATGTATTATTTTATTATTACTAGAACCCTTGAAAGTATTCCATCACCCGTTAATTACAGAGATCACAAAAAAACGTCCTTTTTGACGAGCAACGAAAAACAAGCATAACATTTGAGGGTTAATGCATTGCTTTGTCAACAACCTACATGTTTGATAATACAAACGCAACAGAAAATATCCCAGATGGTGTGAACACACTACCATAGGAGGAGCGTACTGCTACCTGGCCGTGTTCGAAGTCACCCTCAACTTTGTAGCACAACAATACTTCAAACAAGGCGATCAGAGCGAGTCGCATGACATTGAATCCGAATCTGAATGGAACATTTTAAAGATATTAATTTGATATGCATACCGGGAAGCGTAACCTAACAGCCCTGGTTCAACTTCCCGGCTAATACAGGCTAACGTCCGTTTCACAAAGAGATTAGGCCTTTAAGGTGATAGCAAAAGCGATCGTGAAATGTTGTCAAGATTGTCAAAAATGGTGGCTCCCCCAACCACTCGCCACACCACGGCCCCATTCAAAACGTAAGCGCCGCACAGTCTCGCTGAACTTCGCACAAAGAACGGTTGACATAAGTGGCAGCCTTGTCATGAGGCTCTTTCTATAATAAAATGGTAGGTCCTGTTCATGCATTCCTTGTGTGACGGACATGTAGGCAGTGGGACAGTACGGCGCACTCCCACTACTAATCGAGGTTGGAAACAGAAAAAGTGGCGGAGGCTAGAAGAGGAGGGAAGTAGACCACACAAGAAAAAGGGAAAACACCTGATATTTTTACACATGTGTATAGCCCTGAACGAAAGGACATGTGGTACAACAGTCGGCTTCTTTCATCACTTTTTAGTTGAAGGTTTGTTGGTTTTTATCATTATTACTTTATCTACATGTTTTAGAAATCTATTCCAGTTAGGGGAGCATCACGCTGGCAGTATCGCCAGAAAACTAGGGAACTCTGAGCCCAGGGGATGTACCATGAGTTTCAAAAATCGACTTGTCCCCAAATCTTCCGTCACCACGGCCCCATTCAAATCAGTAACATCTGCACATGTGGGGTAGATTATGAGCTGTGTTTGCGTAGTGGTTGGATAAGTGATTGTGTGTTGTTGTTAGTAAATGTTATCTAGCGTTTGAGTATGAGGTGTGTCTAGTGTGGTTCCGCTGAAACATCGCGCAAAGAACTGTTGACATAATGGACAGCCTTACGCATGAGGCTCCTCAAAAGAGGTCCTGTTCATCGCATTCCTGTGACGGGACCTTAGCAGTGGAAGAACGCGCGCACCCCTATACTACTAAACGTTGACAAATGCACTGAGAGTGCCTCCTCAAAATGGTAGGAGGAGCTTCGGGTAATCAACTTGACCATGACCGTGAAAAGCTCCAATTCCAATTAACCCTTTGACGACAATGCGGATTTGCACGTAACGTGCTCGTGGGACCACACCTCTTTTGGCGCGCCTAACGCCCACCTCTCGCACAAAATGGGGCGAAATTTACCCTGAAAGCAGCTTTTCTATCAAAATTTTGACTATGACAATGAGCAAAATATGACTGCAGTCTTAAGCTTTATGATCATGTGTTGCTGGAATTAGAAGTGGAGGTTTGAAAGGAAGTCTTCGGGATCAAAGATGGGTTGAAAACGTAAACGTTCAGATTACACGTAGATTTTGATATTGTCGAACTCCCCTTGTGTCTTAAACTGTGAAAAGACGTAGAGATCCTGATTCTGTTATTCACCTTACGCTTAATAATGTAAAACACTAATTAATATAATACATCGCCGAGCGAAGTGCCATATCCTAAAATTTTATATAAATTAGTTAGTAACAAACATTTCTGCAAAATATGCTAAACATAAGCAAAACGGAGCTTGCTTATATTTCTGATATTACGAAAAGTTTTACAATGTAAAGAAAAAATTTCAGGGTAACCGCCCACCACGGTGCCTGGGGCGTGTCCCACGCGGGAACGCCAATAGTGGCACCCACGTAGGTCCGGCGCAAAAGGGTTAACACTACTTGCGAATCGTTGCACATACCCCCCCCCGTAACGGGATAAACCCTATCTTATTGTTGTTATTCCCTTTAAAATATCCCCGGAATTGCTATGACTCGCTACTTAAATTTATACAAATTCTAATAATGTGAATGTAAACTTAAATTTGGAACTTTCATCCCAATAAGTGGAGTGAGCTATATAAGTCGCTTCATCAAAACCAACTCTTCAGGAAAGAACTCGGATGTGAAAAAGCCAAGGCGCCATAGTATGCGCACCCTGGAGATTTCCTGCCCTGCAAAATCGGATATCTGTGAGCGGCAGGCAACTGTGCATCACATCCCCCTTCCCTGTAATGCTTACTGCATTTGGACCCGTAGTGGGTACAGAAAGTGCATAAAATAGGTACAAACTTAAGCACTGGTCCTTTGAAGTCCTTGTACTCAAACACGGATCGGACGAATATGATAAATACGAAATAAGAGTTGAAAGCACTGGCAATAAAAAGAGGAGAGAATACCAGCCAATACGACATCGCACAGATCTGATGTATTTTTAGAGCCTGAAACAGCGGACAATGATCACGAATCACCAGATGCAACCATCATGAGCTGTAACGAGAACTTGCAATCATCAAAATGCTATGAGTCCAACGCCGTTTCATGTCAATCTATGAAAGATTTTAGATTTTAGTCACAAAATGTTCTAAAGGCCTCAGATTTCGATCCTACAGGAACAGCAAGGTTCAAACGGGCTTTAAGCTCCAATCTCATGAAAGCTCTCATCGCCTAGGATAAAAAGGGCATCTGAAACCGGCTGGGGGCGCTAGGTGACACTTGGACAGCCAGAGGAGAAACGAGAACAAAAGGTATCAGCGTGCATTCAAGTAGGGGGGCACGCCGCATTTTTGAACGGAAATGTAGTAAGGGGAGCTGCTGCATGCTACTATACTGTCACGAGAGTCGGGGAATTCGTGAGCCAGGGGGTGTAGCCAATCTAGGGGTGGGGGTTGAGGGCAGCCACTTGACGTGCGTGAAATGTGAGTCTCATCCCCACTTTGTATAGCACCGTAACCTCAATCCACATAAGAATCCCCTTGCCTCGCGACGTATGTAACAGGTCACTCACTTCAATCGCCGTTTTGATGTAATGAGTTACGTTTTGCGTTGTTGTTGAACCAGAATTGGGGGTGCAAGAGAGAAAAATAATAAACCTCACCTTAAGGAAAGCAACCCTTTCGAGATGTGAACTGCTGAATGAATCACAACTTTGACAATAAATAAATAAAGAAAAAAAAACTCACAAGCATCACCAAGCAAGCAAGAAGTGAAGCGGCATGCAACCATAATCGAACACCAGTCAATCCTGTCCAGTGAATAAGTTCGGAAAGTGAAGGCAGCATCATGGGAAGCAGTAAAATCCTGCAAGTGGCAGCCTGTAGAATCGTGCTCTACTGACAAATGCGCTGCCGTGCGCGTCTCATCGCGGCGCAGAGACAATTGAGGAGACCTGCAAGAGTCGAATACATGACACATTTCAAAACAAACTGATGAAACTCCAGCATTTCATCCATGATGCATTATGAGAGCGTGAAAACGGTAATGGTGTCGTAGAATGAGTGGCGCGAAACTCGGTTTTTCTGGCCAACCTCCTTGTTACCCTTTAGATGAACAAAACAACTTTCATTGTCTTTGATTATTGAACTGCTCTGACATACCTTCTTCTCCTTATTCAAGGCCTGATTGCACCCTTTTCTTAGAAGCTTCCAATTTGGTAACTTCTGTAGTAGTGCGTCCCGCTATCAGTTAAAAGATTACCCACCATGAGAGGACTAATTCGCTTGAGAAAAAAACACCTGGCTTACCGCCATCTTGCCATTTCATAATTCGGACTTCTGATCAATCCATCCATTGCAATGGCCGTTTCAACAATATCGGACGACGATTTATATGTAAAAAGGGTTTTGATTGTGGGGAGTACCGGCAGAAGCCAAGTCACCGTCATATCGCCGTATCGAGGTGGATCGCACAATTACATGACACGTACGTTTTCGCCCATAACTGTGTGCATCCGGCTCCTTGCATACCTCTTCGATTCTGCAGCCCTTCCTGCCTTAAGGGACGAATTGGCGATTATAACGAAAGTCGAAGAAGGAGATCACCTGGTCTGGACCCGCGACTTCTACAGTAGTAAAAAGCGATTGCACCAAAGAGTTGTACCGCGACATTATCAAGGATTAGTTCTTGTCGCTTGGGCCATGCACGCCCACCGCGATCACTATGCACGTCCGCGCACAGTATTACGTGTGATTAGATAGCTGAGAGAGCGTAGTGTTGAAGAGGGCACAGCGATGAGAGTCGCATCAATGCTCGAATCAACGGGCAAGGAAGGGGTCCCATTTCTCGGGTTCTGGGTCCGTTTCTCATGGTTCTTCCTTCTTTCGTGTACCACTCACTATCCCTAGGTTAACTTGGAATGGGTTGCTTTTTCATTGTGAATTCGTCCTTTAACCTAAAATCATAACCTCAGAGACTTGGACTCTGCGCAGGCAGAACGAGTGCCGCCGTTATCCAACGCGCTGTCGAGAGGACGATGCTAGGAGTAACCCTATACACGCAAGTGCAGAGGGGAATCCGGAGTTCCGAACTACGCCAACGATCGAAGATCAGGGACGCTGCCGTTTCGCCAAGGAATCGAAGATAAGGTGGGCCGGACACGTCATGCGATTTTGCGATGACCGTTGGACCAGAGCGGTTACCGACTGGATCCCTCGGGACGTCAAACGAACACCTGGACGACCGCCGGCCCGATGGTCAGACTTCTTCACGAAAGCTCGAACGAAAGGAATGAAAAGACATCGGTCCCTCGAGCCATTTACGTTCTTCC